TTTTGGATGTCTATGATATCTAGAGGCTCTAAGTATCTTAGCATTGTTGGATATGTCATATTGCTTATAGATTAGAACTCTTGCGCATAGACTGTTGGTAGTTTTGTAAGTCCTACAGGCAAGATTTGTAAGAGAAGCGTTGTTCTTAAGATTAGCCTTTTGGAGTCCTAGACCTCCATCAGCCTTGCTCTTTATGACCACCTCCCACTTGATTAGGTGGAGCTTTTTCTTTTCAAGAGTGGTGCCCCAAAGAAAGTTCTTTTGAATTTTGTCAATCTGTTTAGTAACTTTAGTGGGCAGGTTGATGTACTGCATGACATGGCTAGGAATGTTGTTTAAAGAGGTTTTGGCCAGCACAGTTCTGCCAGCCATGTTTAGGCAGCTTATTTTCCAACCAGCCAGCTTGGATTGCATGTTATCAATGATGAATTGAAAGTCTGCATTGATTTGCTTTTTATGGTAAATGGGGAAACCAAGGTATTTTCCAAAGGAGGTGGTGTGTTGGATGGACAGAGAGTTGGTGAGATTCTGTATGGAGTCCTGTGTAGTGTTTGATGAAAACAGGACCCTTGGCTTTGCAAGATTTATTTTCTGACCTGATTGTTCATTGAAATTCTGCATAATGGAAAGTATAGTGTTACAGTTCCTGTCATTAGCTTTAGCAAAGAGGGTTAGGTCATCTGTGAAGAAAAGATTGGATATTTTTGGACCAGATCTGCTTATACTTATGGATTGCCACTGATTATCCAGAACAGCCTCGTCACTTGATCTTGATAATCTTTTCATACACACATTATGAAGAGGTAGGGAGACATTGGGTCTCCCTGACTGATACCTCTTGAAGGTTTGAAGAGTTCAGTTTTCCCACCATTGACAAAAATGGAGATGGAGGAGGAGCTGATGCATGACATAATGAGTTTGGATAAACCTTGGGGGAAGTTGAAAGCAGAAATGGTGTCTAATAAAGGACTATTCCAGCCTGTCAAAAGCCTTTTATAGATCAATTTTGAGGTTCATATTGCCATGCTTCCCTTTCATTTTTCTAAAGTGAGTGATGCACTCTAGGACAATGATGGCATTATCATAGGCTCTCATATTGGAAAGGAAACTGGCTTGGCTTGGCCCAATGATGTGAGACAAGATAGGATTTATTCTGTTCACTATGATTTTAGTGACGGACTTGTATATTGTGTTACATAGTTCAATTGGCGTAAAACATTTTAACATTGAAGCTTGGGGACATTTTGGGATTAGGCACAATAGAGTCTGGTTCATAGTGTCATCCATAGTACTTGAAGAGAAGCATTTTTTACAGAAGTTTATGATAGAGTCACCAATTATGTCCCAGTATTTTTGGTAGAAGAAGGGGTGGAGGCCATCAGGGCCAGGAGATTTAAAGGGTTTGTGGGAGAAGACTGCCCTTTTTATCTCACTCAATTCAAGGGGTCTATCTAAGAAAGCTTTTTGGGCTTCAGACAGAATGGGGGACATAGTGGAGTGGTTGTTGAAAGCCCTAGGGGCTCGGGAGTGGGATGTGGTATATAGATCAATGAAGAAGTCCAATATGGCTGCTTAGATATCCTTCTGTTCATGGAGCCAGTTTCCATTCTCTTTTTTAAGGGAGAGGATTCTGTTCCTTCTTCATTTATTGAGAGTAGATATCTGAAAGAATCTAGTGCTAGTATCACCCTCGTTAAGCCAATTGAGCCTAGATTTGAGCTTCCAGAAATCCTCTTCATTTTTTAGGATTAAGTTAAGCTCAGTAATCAAATTAGTCTCAAGATATAGAAGGTAACTACTGAACTGGTAATTAGGAGATCTCTGGATTCCAGAAATTTTAGCTAGGATTCTTCTCTTTTGGTGGAAGATGTTTCCAAATGTTTCCCGATTCCACTTGGTGATCATTATTTTGAAGGAATCAGTGGATTGGATGATGTTGGAATGATCTGGAATGCCCTATTGATGATATTAGGAAAGGATGGGTGGCTAGCCCACATTGACTCAAACCTGAAAGGCCTTGGTAGGTTATTGTTTGGAGATCCTACCAAATTAATTTGAAGAGGGAAATGGTTTGAGTGGGTCCTAGGGAGGTGCAGTACGGTTGCCTCAGGGTACTGCTGAATCCAGCCTTCATTAGCGAAACATCTATCTATTCTTTCCAAAATTAGCGAGGCTATACTACCGTACCTTTTATTAGACCAAGTATATTTACTCCCTTTGTAGCCTAGGTCTAAAAGTTTTCACTCATTTATACAGTGCCAGAATAGATTGTTGCGGCTAAGGGTTATGGGGTTGCCCCCAAATTTATCCCTGGATTTTAAGACTTCATTGAAGTCTCCTCCTACAAACCAGTTGGTTGTGAGATTCTTTGATATTGTTATTATGTTTTCCCATAGAAGCTTCTTATTAGCTAAAATATTACTAGCGTAGATAGCAGAGAAGAGCCATGGAGGGTGGTTAGGACTTACCTTTACCATTGTATGGATGCCTTGAGGGGTGGTGGCCACCTCTTCAACAACCACATACTCTTCTTTCCATATGAACACTATTCCCCCAGAGAGACCTACTGCCGGTGACTGGATGATCATATCAAATTGGAGCTCTTATGCCAACTTCTGGTGGTCTGCCATCTTAGTTTCAAGCAGAACGAGCATGGTTGGCCTGTGCATCTTCACCATTTCTAAACAGTGCCTCTTGAAATCGGCATTGTTCCCACCCCTAACATTCTATATAATGTAATTCACCAGAGGGGTTGGTGAGGTCCCTCTTAAAGGTTCCTTGGTCCTTGCAGACACTTTGTTGGAGGTGAGGGGGATTTCCTCTTGAGACTCAGTACTGGGGTCAGATTCAGCAGGGGCTTGATGGGACCGTGGGTTTGGAAAGAGACCAGACTCATTCCACACTTGACCATCGATCTGGGATAAAGAACAACTATCATCTCGCTGGTTTCGGTGTTGAACTCTATCGCTCTCACTAAGTCCAGAAGAAGCGAGTCCATTCGTGGTGGGGCATAGGTTGCTCCCTTTTCCTTTGGCGTGCTTTTCTTTTTGAGGATTTCTAGGGCCTTGGAGATTCCCTTTTTGATGTTGTAGAGAGGGGTGAAGTGCTCTTCTCTCTTGGTGCAGATGATGATGGCATTTGTTGAGTTTGGTGGTCGATCATTACGAAGACCGCCTCTGCCGATGGATCCTCACTCATCAGATCTGGGAAGAATGGTAGGGTTTGGAAGCTCTGAAACATCTGATTGTTGAGTGTTTGGGGGTCGGTTATTGGTGAGTTGATGTCTCTATTGGCCATCGACTGTCATAGGAGAGGCCCAAAGGCTGCTAGGGCTTTGCTCAACGCTTCCACTGTGACTCTCGCTAGGTGAGCTGGATTTTGTACAATCAAGGTCACCTTCTGATTGCCCAGGGTGAAATTGTAGGAGAGGCCCTGGCCCTGAAGAGCTACCTCCAACCAAGAAGTCGGTTGGTGGTTTGGTGGTGGCGATAGGGAGGTATGATAGTTGGTGACAGATCTTTTTCATTTTTGTATTTCTTGGCATTACTACTTTGGGTAATGGAAGGGGTTATCTTAAGGGACTAGGGTTCCATCAGTACTCCCTTCAGTGTCAAATCTCGGTCAGTGGAGGGGTTACTGGTAATCGGAACTAGGGGTGGATTGGACATTAATTGTGGATCTATTGGAATTGACGGTTTGAGTCTTTTCATATGGAATCGAAAGGGGTACCAGATAGGGCACTTGATTGTTGGTGGCGACTGTTGACATTTTCCCATTAGAGATTGTTTTAGAGGGATTGGTAGGGGAAGCGTAGGTGAGTGTATTTGGGGGATTAGATGCGCTGACAATTTCCGTTTGGGAGTGGTACCCATTTGGAGAAGAGAGATCGGCCCCAATGGGTATCTCTCTAACTTTGAGGTGAGATACCTCGGAAGTTGGGCTCAAAGTGGCACCTTGAACGAGGAGTTCATAATTGGGGTCAGTGGAGTCATTAGGCCCCGGCCCCGCCTTCCGTTTGGTGCTTGTACTGGGCTAGGCCCGTGTACTGGGTTGTGACCGATGTTGGGTCAGCTGTTGTGGCTTGGTGGGGCTTGCGTTGTTTATTGGTCCGTTGGGCCTTTTTTGGGAATTTTGGGAGGGCTTGACTTTTTTTGAATTGTAACGCAGAGATTGAGTTTGAACGAATTTACCTGAGTTAGCATTGAA